ATATATTTTTTATTTCGCATGATATGGTAAAGGAAAACCTAGGTATGTATATGCGCAGACTGCAGTCCAAACATCGTAAAGACTAGATGTTGTCATTCTAGTCCAAAACAGGGGGTCAGATGGCCGAGCAAGGTCTAAGGCGCAGGTTTTAGGCACCTGTCCTTCGGGGCGTGGGTTCGAATCCCACTCTGATCATTTACTTTTTAAATTATCCAGTTGTGTTGGTGTTACTCGAGATCTCATTTACCACCGCCCGTCGCAAAATGCAACTTATTTTCTATTTTTGGTAAATATTTGTTGCGATTGGACAGAGCGAAGAGAATGCACACTCGGAGACATCTATTGTCACCTCTTGTACAAGCGCAGACATGTACGAATTCTCATCAGATGATTTTTAGTGTTGATAGGGTTTAGGGTTTTATTTACTTGTTGAGAGTATATTGGGGAGTACAAAGGCATGGTAGCGACTAACGCACCTTGATGGAGATACTCCCCAACTTGAAATAATATTTCTATATTCACATTGTTGCGGCATCAGCTGTGGGTGCTCTGCACCCCCCCTGTAACACAGAGGGGCGCCGTCCCCTAGAGTGCCACTCGATTGAATCCCCTTACCTCCAATTGTATTGCGAAAGCTCCCCCTTCCTTTTTACACTCCTATTGTTGCCATGCGTTTTTTTTATTAGCCGCTCGCCAGTGCAATGACCTTGTGCAGCTGCTCGACGCTCAGACAGCACCAAGCACTACCAGCGAGGCAAGAGGAGTGTTGACAAGCACACGGGTAATACGCCGTAAAAGCCTTATAAGCCGAGCAAGACGCTAGAAATTATATAGCAGTTTTCTTTGCCTTAAAAACACACATTTGATTCTCATACCCTCTAGTGGCGCCTCTCTTGTTTAGAGCGCCTTTCCTTTTTATTCCCCCCCCCCCCCCGCAATAAGATAATGTGCCAATGGGCAGAGACAGGTACCAGCTCGCAGGATATACAATGGAAGGGGAAATGTCGATCCTACTCCCTATTGTGAAAATCTCCTCAGGCTTGCGCCAAGTGGTAATAGCGCTAAAAAAAAGCAGCTAAATGCCACAGATGCATTGCTTACTCTG